GTAATTCCTCTATGGAGCGCTGGCAGGCAAAATTTCGTCGTTTAAGACAACACCTAAGGGGATGGGCTAAACATACTAGTGGTGTCTACAAAAAAGAGAAAAAGGAGATTTTGGATAAGTTGGATTTGCTTGATAAAAAAGCAGAAACTATCCTTTTGTCTCAGGAAGAAATTGATATTAGATGGTATTGTAGGAATAGATTGTCCTGCTTCTAAGAGAAGAGGAAATTAAGTGGTATCAAAGGGCTAAAACTAAAGATATTCTTGAGGGCGACTCTAATACAAAGTTTTTTCATTTGGTTGCAAATGGTAAACATAGGAAAACCAAAATTTTTCAATTACATGATGGTGAACAATTAATAAATGGTGATGTGAATTTAAAATCGCATGTTACCACTTATTATAAAGGATTATTTGGCCCGCCTGATGATTATGATCTCCAGTTTGATGAGAATAAATTTGTAGATATTCCTCAAGTATCTCAATTGGAGAATGAAGCTTTAACACAGGAATTCACTGAAAAAGAGATCAAGGAGGCCATTTTCCAAATGGAACATAACAAAGCCCCGGGTCCTAATGGATTTCCGGCTGAGTTTTATCAAGTCTTTTGGAATGTTATCAAAGATGACTTATTAAATCTTTTTAGTGATTTCCATAATGGTACTTTGCCTTTATTTTCTCTTAACTTTGGTACTATTATTCTTTTGCCTAAGTGCGTTGAGGCCATGAAAATTCAACAATATAGGCCTATATTCTTACTTAATGTTAGTTTTAAAATATTTACTAAGGTTGCTACAAATAGAATAATGGGTGTTGCTCAGAAGATGATTAGTCCTACTCAAACTGTTCTTTTACCCGGTAGAAACATTATGGAAGGGGTTGTTATTCTACATGAAACTATGTATGAATTGCATCATAAAAACAAAAGTGCTGTAATTTTTAAGATTGATTTTGAAAAAGCTTATGATAACGTTAAATGGTCTTTTGTACAACAGACATTAAGGATGAAGGGCTTCTCTCCTAAATGGTGTGAGTGGATAGTTTCTTTCATTCAAGGGGGTCATGTTGGTGTTAAAGTAAATGACCAAATTGGTAATAATTTTCAAACTTATAAAGGTCTTAGGCAAGGTGATCATTTATCTCCAATCCTCTTTAATATAGTAGCGGATATGCTTGCTTTATTAATCAAGAGGGCTAAAGAAGCTGGGACTCTTGAGGGGGTAATCCCTCACTTGGTGGATGATGGTTTGTCTATTTTGTAGTATGCAGATGATACTATCATTTTTTTTGGAGCATGACTTACAACAAGCAAAGAATTTGAAATTGATTTTATCTGTGTTTGAAAAGTTATCTGGCCTGAATTTTTTTTTTCACAAAAGTGAATTATTTTGTTTTGGTCAAGCTAGCGAGTTCTATGATCAGTATTCAAATATCTTTGGTTATAAATTAGGTTCCTTTCCTGTCAAATACCTTGGTATTCCAATGCATTTTAGAAAATTGAGTAATAAAGATTGGAAAGTCATTGAGCAAAGAATTGAGAAAAACTAAGTAGTTGGAAAGGTAAGCATATGTCTGTTGGGGGTAGAGTGGTTTTGATTAACTCTGTACTTTCAAGCTTAACTATGTTTATGTTATCATTTTTTGAGATTCCGAAAGGTGTTCTTCAAAAGATTGATTATTATAGATCACATTTCTTTTGGCAAGGGGATGATCATAAAAAGAAGAACAGACTTACTAGATGGGATATCGTTTGTCAGCCCAAAGATCAGGGTGATCTGGGGATTCATAATTTGGAAATACAAAATAAGTGTCTTTTGAGTAAGTGGTTGTTTAAGTTGATAAATGAGGAAGGTGTATGGCAAACTTTATTGAAGAGAAAGTATCTCTATAATCAGTCTATAACATAAGTTGATAGAAAACATGGTGATTCCCATTTTTAGTCAGGCCTCTTGAAAGTTAAAAGCACTTTTTTAAATATGGGTTCTTGGATTGTAAATAACATGGAACAAATAAGGTTTTGGGAAGATAAATGGCTAGGAAATGTAGCTCTAAAAGAAAAATATCCATCTTTATTTTCTATAGTTCGAAGGAAAAGTTCTTCAATTGCTAATGTCATGAGATCTGTTTCGCTTAATGTTTCTTTTAGAAGAGCTTTATTTGGTCAGAATCTTGTTTATTGGCATGAGTTGTGCATTTTTATTGTACATATTCAGTTGAATCAAGCTCCTGGCATTTTTAGATGGAATTATCATCAAAATGGTTTGTTTTCAGTAAGGTCGATGTATCTAGCCTTAATTAATTATGGTTATAATGATAGAAATAAGTTTATTTGGAAACTTAAGATGCCGCTTAAAATTAAGATCTTTATGTGGTACTTGTTTAAAGGGGTTGTGTTAACCAAAGACAATTTAGCAAAACGAAATTGGAATGGCAGTTTAAGATGTTGTTTCTGCATGAAAAATGAGACTATTCAACATCTTTTTATGGATTGTCATTTTGCAAAATTTGTTTGGAGAGCGGTACAATTTTCTTTTAGTTTATACCTCCTTTCTTCCATATCTCATATGTTTGATGGTTGGCTTTAGGGGGTTGACAAGAAAAAGAGAAACTAATTCTTGTAGGAGCTACTACTATATGTTGGGCTCTGTGGTTGTGTAGGAAATGATATGGTTTTTGACAAATCACCATCTACTTCATATATGTAGGCAATTTTCAGGGTAACATATTGGCTCCGATTTTGGGCACAGCTGCAAAAGTGTGATGAAGATAGAGAGCTCTTGAAGGTTGCATGCCGTAAGCTTGAGACGACGGTTATGCAACTTTTTTGCCAACCATGGATAGAGGTTCATAAATAGACTTGAATAATTGTGTGTTCCTTATTTTGGTCTGGTCACTTTTATAATATTTGGATGTGTTTAATTCTATTTGAACTACATTATTTGTTCAATTATAATGTTTGGATGTGTTTAATTCTATTTGAACTACACTATTTGTTCAAGTATTAGATTGTAATAATTGGCTGTAGCTCTGTTGAGCAAAGGCTGAGATGTTATCTATTCCATTATCTAAAAAAAATAAGTGCTGTTTTGCACTGTTATATTCAACATTTGATCGTTCGCTTTATTTGTTTTTTGTGTATAATTTGTGTTTTTTGTGTATAATTAGTATTTTTTGTGTTATTAGATGATAAAACATGAATATTGCTTTATGTGTGACTATTTTTTAAAAATATTCATAAAATTTTTAAATAATATGGACGGTTAAATGTTAGACACGAATACCCATGGTTGTATTTATTTTGAGACAAAGGTAGTATATAACGAATGATAAATGTATATATCATATAATGAATAATCAAGGCGGCCAATCGGCCATCATGATCTGTGCTGTGACTAAGGCTCTGTCAAATGATGGAGTACACTGCAAGCACAATATAGGGCTTAGGCCTTGTTTAGCTTAAAATTTTTCACCCTGTCACATCGAACGTTTAACATGTATAAAGTATTAAATATAGACTAAAAAAATAATTAATTACATAGATTGCGATTAATTTGCGTGACAAATCTTTTAAACCTAATTGTTCCATGATTTGACAATGTAGTGCCACAGTAAACATTTGCTAATGACGGATTAATTAGGCTTAATAAATTCGTCTCACGGTTTACTGACGGATTCTGTAATTATTTTTTATTAGACTACGTTTAATACTTTAAATATGTGTCCGTATATCCGATATGACATGGCAAAAAAATTCTCCCCTGATCTAAACACAGCCTTAGAGAAAATAACACTGACTAGATTAAAATACCAGAAATCACTTTGTTGAACCGTTTATATTTTCTAGTTGCATTTTGATTTTTTTCCCAAATGCTAAATAAAATACGTGAATGATTTTGAGATAACTATTCTATATACTATTATAAAAATTAAAGATGTTTCTGCTGATACTTTTGTATGTCGTTCGTATTTGAGTCAGTTTTTAAGTTCGTTCACTTTTAGAAATACATAAGGAAATTGAATAAGAAATCATTTTCAAAAAAGCTCACATGTTAATTTGGGACGAAAGTTGGACTTCTAGTTGCTTTAAAATTCTTACAAGACCATAAGAAAGCAACATAGTACATGATATGACCATCATCCCAATAAAAATTTCAAATTAGATATCAATACTATAAAAAAATCCCATATATATTTTTAGATAAATCTAACAATAATATGATTAAAATTGCTTTCAGCTGTTGCAGCGCAATACTCCCTCCATCCTAAAAAAACAGACAAACCCTGGGTTTCCGAGTCCAACATTTAACCATCCATCTTATTTGAAAAAATTATGAAAAAAATTAAAAAAGACAAGTCATGTATAAAATATTAATCATGTTTTATCATCTAACAACAATGAAAATACTAATTATAAAAAAAATTATATAAGACGGATAGTCAAACGTTGTACACGAAAATCAGGGTTTGTTTGTCTTTTTTTTTCTGGAGGGAGTACGTTTTTTCTAGTCCAATAAAAAAAATAAAAAATAGACGGCGGCCCTAAGTTTGAACACAAACATACATCGAAAACCATAATGCTCATCTTATCAGTCAGTATGTTTAAAGCGTGCACTCCAGGGTGGGCTGTCATGCATGTGTTGGTGCGGTGGGATGCGCCGTGTTCATCCCCCCAATCACCGGGGAAATTTCACCTATAAATGTCATCGGTCAACCAAGACCAAGGTACAATAAAAAATCTCCATCCCAGCCACCTCACAACAAGATCCTCAACTCCTCTTGCAAAAAAAACACACACACACACGCACACAACTCACCGGGTGATCGGTCTGTCACTGCAACGTGGAGCCCATATGCCCGTGGCATACGGGTCGACTACGACTACGAGTACATGTACGCGTACATATACATAACATAATACTGTCCGGTGCCCCCGCTGCGTGAAAAGAGGTCGGCCCCCACGTGGCCTTCCTGCTCGGTCACCGCACCCCCGGGCCTCGAATTCCAGGCCACTCCCTCCCAGCCCCAGCCCATGGAAATAATCGAAAAAAAGTCGCAGAAATGGCGCTAAATTAGAGTGAGCCAGCAGCCGCAGCAGAGCAGAGCAGACACAGCCAAACACACACACTCCTCTCCTCATCTTCTCTCTCTCTCTCTCTCCGTGCAGCACTAGATTCCACTTGCTCTCCTCCTCTTCTTCCTCCAGAGATTTGCTCTGCTTGTTCGTCCGTGTCGTCGTGCGGCGGCGGAGGAGGGGGATCAAGAACAGGAGAGGTGTCCAGTGGCGGAGGCAAATCAATCACGTCGCCTTACCTAGCTAGCTACCTAGCTGGTCTACGAGCTTGAGCTAGATCCTGAGGCGGGGTAGTATTCCGGCCAAGAAGGAGAAGGATGGGGGAGAAGGTGAGTGAGGCGGCGGCGGGAGTGGAGGATCAGGACGGCGGCGTCGCGGCGGCGGGGATGGATGGCATTCAGTACTGCAGCGAGCATCCCTACCGGCCTGGGGCGGCGGCGGCGGCGGTCGCCGGTGGAGGGATATGCGCCTTCTGCCTGCAGGAGAAGCTGGGGAGGCTGGTGTCGTCGTCCAAGTCCAGCCCCTTCTTCCCCCTCGGCGGCCACCCTCCGCCGTCCGCCTCGCCGTCGTCGCCGCCGTCCTTCCGCCGCGCCGCGGCGGTGGTGGCGGAGCCCCCGCCGCCGCTCCGCTCCTCCTCGGGCGCCTCCCGCAAGCTGATCCCGTTCGGCAGGAGGAAGGCGTCGTCGTCGAGCTCCTCCTCGTCCTCCTCCGCGTCGGTGGCGCTGGCCGGCGGCGGGCTGAAGCGGAGCAAGTCGGTGGCGCCGCGGCCCGAGGAGCACTACTCGTCGTCGGCGTCGTCCGTGACGGCGGAGAGCCCGCGGAAGAAGAGCTTCTGGTCCTTCCTCTACCTCTCCTCGTCGCCTTACACGCACCAGGCCGTCACCTCCACGTCGTACGGCGCCAACGGTGGCGCCGCCGCCGCCGCGAGGAGGAAGTCGGTGTCCGTGGCGTCGGCGGCGTGGGCGTCGAGGGGTGGCTCCGCTGCCGGCGCGCATGAGCAGCAGCAGCCACGGGCGGCGGCGACCTCTTCGGTGTCGGGGCGGAGGCTGGAGGCCATCGGCGAGCCGGAGAGCCCGAGCCAGGTGTCGTCGTCGTCGTCCTTCGGGCGGAAGGTGGCGCGGTCGCGCTCCGTCGGGTGCGGCAGCCGCAGCTTCTCCGGCGACTTCCTGGAGCGCATCTCCAACGGCTTCGGCGACTGCACGCTCCGGCGCGTCGAGTCCCAGCGCGAGCCCAAGCCCAACAAGATGCGCGCGCTCGGCCACCTGGGCGGCGGCGGTGGCGGCGGCGCCGACGATGACGACGACGACGACGACGTGTACCAGCACCAGCACCGGATCAAGTGCGCGGGGTTCTTCGGCGGCATGGGCCCCACTCCCTCCTACTGGCTCTCCGCGGCAGAGGGCGCTGCCACCGCCGGCGGCGTCGGCGGCGCGAGGAAGTTGGGCGGCCGGAGCCACCGGAGCTGGGCGTGGACGGCGCTGGCCAGCCCGATGAGGGCGCTGAGGCCGACGAGCTCCACCACCACCACCACCACGAAGACCATCACGGCCGTGCATTCCAGCCACGTCGTCGCGCACAGCAACGGCAGCACGCCGGCGGCGGCATTGTCCATATCATCCCCTGTGCCAGCATCGTCGACGGCGGCGACGGATTGAAAGACGCGCGGCCGGTTAATTACCCCCCCCCCCCCTCTCTCTTCCCGCCACTTTCTTGAGCCGTTTACATTTCCCCATTTTGCCGCCTTCTTTTTTCGTCTGTAATTTCAAGATGGAACAAAACTGCTCATAAGTTGAAATGTGCTGTGGATTTCGGATTGATTTTGCTGTCAAATTTCTTCGACTCGTTCCTCGAATCACCATCCATTTCGTCGCCTTGTCTAGGCAGTCTAGCACTAATCCACCGTAAACAATCTTTCCTTTCCATCGGATTTCAGATACTCCTATGAATGTGACATTCAACTCAAAGCCATTGATGAACCCAACCATCCGTTTTAAGTTCACCATTAACTACTCCATTCTTTGGTGGGTGGTTGGGGGATGGTGGCGTGGCAGTGGAAGAAGAACCAGAAAGATGAACCCAAGCCAAGAATTGTTACTGCCAGGCTGGCAGGCCAATTTGTCAGTGACAGTGTGACCATTTTGTCAGTTCAGTAGGTGGCCAGCCTTCACAAACCCTACCTGCAAGTACAAGCACAGTTTTGACCACGCGTAGCGTACTCTACGTACGCAACGCCAAGCCGCAATTACAACACGGGCCGCCCCGCGCCGCGCTGCAAAACGCAGCCCGTGACCCTGACCCGCTGCAGCTTTCTCGCTGCGCCGCACGGACCTCAAGGCAAACGCCTCTTCACTCCGGTGGACGACGGCGACCGGTAATAACGCTGCACGATACTACTAAATGAAAAGGTGTCCGGGAAAGGTCTTCGCTAACCTCTGAATTGTAGTACTACTAGTTAATCCGTTCCAAAATACATGTACTCCGTGGCTTTGATTTTTTGTTTGTAACATTTAATCATTTGTCTTATTTAAAAAATATATAATTATTATATATTTTGTTTGTGTCTTTCTTTATTATCAAAATATAAAGTACATTATTTATGATTTATCTTTTTTATATTTACATTAATTTTCAAATATGACAAATGGTCAAACTATCATGGGGGTAATTGGGTGTGATACTGCGATGGGAAAAAAAACGACACAGCGAAGGCGATGCACGCCAACACTGTACACTAGGAGTACATGTAGACAACTGTATCTGTGTCACTGTGTGGCTGGCCATGGCAGCCAGCCACGACGACGACGAGACATGGGGCGGAGTTGCGGACGCCGCAGTGCATGGGGAGAGGAGAGAGCGACCTTTCTTCTACTCCTGCACTGGTCCGAATTCAATTCAATTGTTGGTCTCGTCGTCGTCGTAGCCCATGTCCATGCATGCATGCACGCACGTTGCGTTGCACGGGCACTATCGGCCATGAGCATGGGGTCGCAGCCCTCGTCCGGGTGCGTGCGGTATCAGTGGCTTATCATTCTGGGAAAGGGGCCCCTCCACTCTCTCCACTAATCAATACTACTACCACCAGTACACACTCTCCTTTCCCGGATCTTGTCTCGGCGAGCTAAAGCTAACCAACGTACTACGTCCTGTAATTTTTATGCCCTTGCAGCTGCTGCAATTTTTTGCAATGTAGTACTCCCTTCACAATGTAAAACTTTCTAACATTGCTCATATTCATCTAGATGTTAATAAATCTAGACATATGTGAGCAATGCTAGAAAGTTTTACATTGTAAAACGGAAGGAGTAGTACTGTAGCTCGTATCGGAGTCGAATAATTGATTCGATCACTCACAAACTCACTCTCAATCTTGTGTGATAGTACAAGTAGTATGATGAGGGATTGGAAGTTGGAAGCCGCTAGCGGCGGAGTACAAGCATGCCGGGATGGCGTCGATGGATCAACAACGGTGAGGCCGACTGGTAGTAGTGCTTGCAGTGGCAGCAGCAGGACTGTGCAGTACTAGTCCATTGGCGTGAGCTGGGGTTGGGTTGCGTTGGGCGGGCACGTGATGGCTCTGGCCGCTGCTGCCGCGAGGGGTCCCATGCATATGCCGCAGATATGCTCCCGTTTGTCTCGTTCCATGCTTCCTTTTTCTCTCCTCCTCCCGTCTCTCAGATCGTCGAGCCTCTCCTCCGGTGCAAAGCATTAAGCATATGCATCCGTTGTTGCGGCAATGGCGTAGTACAGTCGTTGTAGAGGTTAGAGTGAAACGAAAAAGATGCTTACTGTCTCCAGCCAGCCACGAGAGAAACACATGCTGAAGGCATGAGTACTGGAGATCATCATTTCGACGGAAGGAAGCTGCAGCTGAGCAGCTGTGATCAGGCTCATCGGAGAGGAGCGAAGTCATATCAGGGTCCAAGTAAGCATGATTCTGCCCCCAGGTGGAAACAACGACCGGGCCGGCTTAAACAGCCTGACACTATACCACAGAGGCACGCAGAAACCACTGACTCCAGCCCCAAAATCCTGATTACTGTTGCATTTTAGATTCTCGCGATGGTGGACATGTCGACGACAGCAGAAGGACAAGCTTGGTGTGGCTTTTGAAGCCACTGCGAAGAAGAAAGCTCCGGTCGTCTTTGCTGCCTCTCCTCCTCCATCCCATTGGGAAGTTAAAACCCTCGCTCTCACCTCATCTGCAGTGCAGTGTGCAGGACAGTACTACCTCCGTCCCAAAATAAGTGCAGCCGTGGATATCTGAGCCCAACGTTTGACCGTCCGTCTTATTTAAAAAATTTGTGAAAAATTTAAAAATAATTAGTCACACATAAAGTACTATTCATGTTTTATCATCTAATAGCAATAAAAATACTAATCATAAAAATTTTTCAAATAAAATAAACGGTCAAACGTTAAACGTAAATAATATAAAACTACACTTATTTTGAGACGGAGGGAGTATTAGCGTACAGATTCTTCCGGACTCCGAGCCCCGTTCCAACCCCAAGCTTCGAGCTGGACGGGAGCTGCTACTACTTGTCACGTAGCGGCAGCACAGAAGGCTGCGCCAGCTTTGAGGCTTTGACCGGCCAACCGCAGCACGGCACGACCCCATCATTGCTGCTACGGACTCATCACACCACTCGCGCTACACAAACACACAGCTCCAACCTTGCACTTGCGAACACGATTTGGATTGGATTATTTCCAGCTCGGCCGTCCGTCCATGCCTGCCATGACCAGTCGCACCAGGCACCACCACCCCAATTATTTCCCCGCTGCTGTTTCTCCCCGAGCGAATCCATCCATCCACGGATCCACCACCGTGTCATCGCCAATCATTTGCTGATCCCCGGCCTGCCTGTGCGCCGCACACGGCATCCCCTCCCTCCCGGTGTTGGCTTCTGGAACAGAGGAGGCCAGCTAGCGCGTGCACACTAGCACCACACCACCACGTACAGTACGTACGTACGTAGTCCCATTTTGCTCGCTGCATGCGTGTCTTGTTGGTCACTGGGACGGCAGCCGGTCGCCCGGCGATTGACACGCCACTCACCCGTGTCGACTCCAGTGTCCTCTAGCTCCTCTCCTCCTTGGCTGCAACTGCAAGGGTAGTACAGTAATAGTAGGGCCGTGTCACAACTTGCGCGCGATTGCTGGCTGGTGGTGCTCTGAGCCCCGTGGATAGTTTTTCGTCTCCAATTGGGTGGAAATGTGCAACGGAAGCTAGTACTATCTCCGTCTCAAAATAAGTACAGCCGTGGATATTCGTGCTTAACATTGACCGTTCATCTTATTTGAAAAATTTGTGAAAAATTTAAAAATATTTAGTCATACATAAAGTACTATTCATGTTTTATCATCTAATAACAATAAAAATACTAATCATAAATTTTTTTTAAATAAAACGAACGGTCAAACGTTGAACGTAAATAGTGCAAAACTACACTTATTTTGGGACGGAGGGAGTACGGAACAAAAGTAGATGGTTGTTTTTATCCTCGAGTGAATCAAAGACGGCTGCTGATAGGCTGAGCAACGGCGTAGTGTAGCACGCACCTGGCTCAGCTGAATTCGTGCCTTTGTCACAATGCAAGAATCCATCGTTGTACGTCAACACACGGCCAAGCGTATAATATATACACTCCTGTCTCGAGAGTAGAGGAAGGGAATGCCTTGCTTTGCATTGTGCAGAGAGTTGGGGGGGGGGGGGGGGGTGGTGACCAGATCAAGCTAACCTGTGATTCAATAGGGAAGTTAAGATAGATCAGAGCACAGTTATTGAAGGCGTCGCTTGAGGGGAACATGCACGGTAGGAGTGCCCATCGCCCATATGGACCTTCTTTTTTATCTTCATCTTCGCCTTGCCCTGGGCTAACAATCAATAGAAAATGCTTTAGGATTCTCCGGCCAGTGAGCTCAGATGCAGTCTCACATGCAGCAACCGTATTTATTTGGGAGTGGTATTGACCAAACGAATGGTCCCCCCCGGATGAGTACTGTTCCATTACAATGTAGAGTACCGGTAACAGCAGATCAAGATGATACAGCCATATAGCTGCGGTTGTAGCCTTGCAGAATATTACAATGTGTACCTGATGCCATTGATGCGTTGCTATAGCAGCAGTACAAGCAGGATAGACCCATCACCCATGTGCTATTCTTGCCCAAAAGTGTGAACAGAAACAATCAAACAATAGTTCCAGGGTAAAAAAAAAATAAACAGAAACAACATCCTGAGGAGCAAACTTACCTCTTACTATCAGCAGACAACCCCGACAAAGAGCAACTATCTCATGTTTTTCATTAGATTAAAATTTCATGAACGACACATTTTGATGTTTAGCCCACCCTGTGAAATGCAGATAAGAAATGTCATAGAAAATGTAGTATAGTTGAAAAGGAAATTCATTTTGACAAATTGACTTGAGACGTCAGAGCTCGATGCTTGTATCCAGTGACTAAATTAGTGCCTACCATACATTGTTGGAACATAAAAATGTGACTTGCAGGAATGCTAATATAATCAGAATTAAAGTGTAAATAGTAGTACTTGATTAGCCGTATACTCTTGTTCCTGAACTTGTAAAGTTGTAGTATTCATAGGGTACACTAGGCCAAAAAAAGACTTGACTTCTCATCAAGGGATTGTTCTTGCTCTTCAAATTTCTCTCTACCTCCAAAGAAAAACTGAAGCAACAAGCAGGTTGATTTATGGGGCCTACAAGCTTAAGTATTCATTTCCTATAAGCTACCTCATCCAACTTGTTGCTATAATTTCAATAACACATTAACACAATATCTTATAATATGATACCTCAATAGGCCAAACATGCCATTTAGTCCCGTTGGATCCTTACGGTTTCTACACTATTTAGGTGTTTCTTCCCTGATTGACTAGTCAGTCGACCCCATGCTTTTGTGGTAGTATCTGTCTCCACCAACTATTTAGGTAACTGTAATGTTTCCAGGTAATTCTGATTCTACAATCTTTTGTTCATGAAGGTCATAGAACTGTTATAGACTTTAAGATCACATACGGTGCTTCTATAACATAACTGATGATGTGTAAGATATCATGCTTTTTATATGGTTCTTTCACCTCTATTTGGGGATCTGACCAACAATGCTAGTGAGGTCTCCACACTTTTGAGTTTTGTCAATAGTGCAGGCTGGATTTCGGAATGTGATCAAGACTATAAGATGCATGGGTTAGGAATTTTGTCCTGTCTGGTTGTGGAGTTGATGCTTGGCTAAAATATAGCCTCTAGGAACAGTGATATACAAAGTGAGGTAGGTTTGCAAATGTACAAGGCATGTGCAGGCTGTGTGAATGGAAGTGGGACATATCATCACTGAGATAAGTATGGCCATAGTGATTCTGGATCATTGTATCCCTGGTGTGGGGGATTTCAGATCCCTCGTATTTAAAATTTTAAATACCATGTTTTGTCCATGACCTACACACCCATATGGATCAATGTGAGGCCGGTTTTGAAAGCTCCAAATCATCTCTGGTCTTTTTCTCCGAAGTCCTAATTTTGCCTAGTTGCCAACAGATAATTTCCTACAAAGGCTTGAAACACCACAACACACTTGGTCCTATCGTCCTACATCACTCTATCACTCTCCTTCTTGCATGATCCTGTGCCCCTAATCTAGCAGGGTGCCTTCCTAGTTCCTGCATTTGGATAAGGCACAAAACACTACCTACAATCAACTTCTCCTAGTTGTGTTGGACCATTGGTGTAGTTCTGTGGCCACCTTTTGTACTTTTTGCAATAGACTCACGCATTTCATTTGAAACAATCCCGAGGTTAACTGATGTTAGACAACCACTAAATGTAGCTTCAAACATTGTTGGGTGACCACCATATCATTTGATATATGCTTGTGAAAATGACATTTTCATTGGCGCCAGGGAATGTTGTACCTTGGTTCTGTACTTTTGTAGCCTACATGATAGCATTGGTGGACCTTGCTATAGCTACACTTTAACAGCATTACAGTATGAATGCATGAAATATGCGCCCCCATCTTGTTCTATAATAGCAAGTAATCAGTAGTGCAAAGCTTATGATTGATGCAGACTAAAGTTAATACCATGCAGCTTGATTGTTGATAATTCAGCATAAGCTAAAATTTGCAGTCATACAGTGAGGGAATAATTGTGGTATCTGATGTACCTCTCAGATTGCCTGTTGGAGCCTTTGCTGCTCACATATCTTGGATCTCTGATGATCTTCTACCTTTCCACTAAAAAGATGACTTTCTATCATCCACCAAGCTGTAAAAGAGAGTATTCCTGATCAATGTAGCAAAAGAGTACTGCCTTAAAAAAATGTTAAATTGGTTCCATCTGCTCATAGGTTCTTTAGCAGGATGCCCAAAAAATTGCTAGCAGGTGAATAGAAGCGTTAGAGACTCACCAAGTATGCAAGTGTACAAATCAATACTCATCTGCGCAAGACTAGAAAAATAAGTGATATCTAGATGCAGATCTATTTGATGTGACAACATTACAACAGAAACAGGTGGGACTGAACGAAATTAAGAGGATCTGTCATTAATCTGATACAGTTTGATTTGAACATGCTGATGCTTCTTTGCTGTAGGATATTTTTATGATCTTAATATGGATCGCACTTGGTATCTGTAAAGTTACACATGATAATTTTGTGAAGTAAGATTAACAGCCATGGGTAATATTTAGATACTCAGGCCAGTTGCCCCCAATAGAAGCCTATGAAAATTTTAGTCTTCTCATGAATATATAAAAAATGTTTTACGGAGGTTCTGTAAGTTAAAAGACTCAAGAGTTCTACAGTTTCATGGAATCGCAGTACTGTAAGGAGAAAACCTTCTGATTCTAATGCTAGAGATTGTAAGTACTTTTCTTTTTGCGAAAAGAAAAAGTAAATACTAAAATGCCACAAAAAAACCTCAGCAACAAAATGACCACTTTGTTCATGTGGCTAATGACTCGCCTGAAAAAAAAATCATAGCTTGCTAGTTAATCTTCTATACATTTTATTGCTTCAAGACCGATAAGCTAGCGGAAAATTCAAAAGCTTGCTAGCTAGTATTACAAGGCTATTAGCTATTCAGGAAAAAAGAGATTCATACCCTTCACAAGTAGTTTATGAGGATGTCTAGTCATACCCATAAATGTCTGTGAATAATTAACAGGGCATCTGTGATATTAGATGCATCCGATATTAATAATATCCGCAGACAAGAGGTGCCCAGTAAACAGTACTTGTTGCTAATGGTCCTCAAGTTCTAACAAACAAGTCTACAGAGAATGGCTGTTAGCTGATTGACATCCATCATGAAGATGGGTTAAATCTACAATAATCAATTATCAGACCAATACTGCTAGTCACCAACTGGTCATTGGAAGTAATCATATGAGACGATAACCATGCAACAATTGAGAGGTAGAGAGTTCTCACTACCAGAGCCTTTTTAGTTCGAGTGTCACACATGAGCATGACCCTCGAAAACCTACTTTGTGAAGCCCTTTTGTTGGTCTGAGCCTAAATACTAGATTCAATTGAAACTGGCTCTATGCTGCCATTCTGGTTTTCACCTTTTCCACCATTGTCAGTATCCCAGAGGCTTAGGGCCCTCTGATCCTTTCCCTAGTGTTTGCTGTGACATGCATATACACATAATCCTTGTACTGCTAAACATAAGAGTATTTGCATTTAATCATACGAGACAATCATTGTGCAACTGAGAATGGAGAGTAAATCACTAACTGAAGACATTTCTAGGAAGAGCGTCACACAAAACCCTACCTACTGCAGTCTTTTATTGAATTCAGAGCCCAGAAACTAAATCCAATCATTCAATTGAGTATTTTCAGTTAAACACGACTGCTGGAATAAAATATTAAACTGAAGATCCAGATTGTCTCATGAAAAATCGAGTTCTGTTGTCTTTCCTAACTTTAAACTATTTTCTTCTTACTAGAATGAATGAATGACATTCCCAGGTGTCATGATCCTTACTCATGAATCATATCTTGGCTATATGATATATCTATGTAAACTCTATGGCTCTATGCAATCATATATTGAACCTATTGGAATGCTCATTTTTTCTATAAACTTGGTCAAACTTAAAGCAGTTTGACTTTGACCAAAGTCAAAACGTCTTATAACCAGAAACGGAGGGAGTAGTGATCAGTGATAACTCTATCACACAAAGAACCCCTGAGTTCTACATATCAAGTCATGGCTTTGGGTTTTCATTCATATGCAAATAGTCAAAGCGATCAAAGCGATCTATTCAAGAACCTTTTAAACAAACTCAATACAGTGTACTTTTTGTCGAACACATACTCAGAAAAGAGAGGATCTTTGGAATTTCAAACAAGGCACCTTTGGAGTGTCCAACTAAATACCCCTTCAATTATAATGCTGGAGAGGAGAATTTAGACGGTATGAAAAGAACAGTACAAAATGAGCTAACTAAGTAGCAGTACAATATAAATTGGATCTTGATTCATTAACCTTTTTATTTTGATTGTTTTAAGAATTGAAAGAAAGCAACAACATGATGCAGAAGAAAGTAGTAAGGCTGGTAAGGATTATATCATGGATATTACAAGAAAAGAAAATATCAGTTCAAAGTTCAAACAAAGATTGAAAACAATATGTTTTTGTAAATTACATCACATTAGCAAACATAAAGGACTGTTATAACTAGAGTCTCCTAATTGAATGAACTGTTTATGATCCTTGGAAACTGAATTATTCGATTTAGTTTTAGATTAATAAACTTATGAACTGTCATAACTTCAGAACCCCCCTGAAAGTGAGACTACTAGCTGCAAGTCATATACCGGGAAGTAGGAAGGAATATGGAGTTTGAACAATTGATTCCACACATTTTACCATCAAATTGCACACTATCTATTGGGTTACAAACTAGGTCAATAAGTTTTACGCATAATATGGATATGCAACTGTGTATGCTATCTACATAGAAACATATGAATGGACACAACAAAGCAAGACAGCTGCAATAAAAGTACAAGTTCATTACTAGATGAACATATATGCACATAGTACAGTTAACAAGAACACAAATAACCAGATAGATGCTATAGATTTTTTCATGTAACATATGATGAAATCCTGCTGGTGGTGCCACTGGAGCATTTCTGGTAGGCAATGTTGCCGCTTGGCTCAAGTCCAGCAGCACAAATGAGGTCCAATTCTCACATGGCCCAAGCAGCAAATGTGCATGCTTCAAACTTTGCAAGTTCTAATGTGCATACAGTCTGCTCGTCCCAAAGCCACTCTTCATCAAATTACTGCATGCAGGTAGCAAAAAATAACAAGTCTAAGTTACATGCTTATGATTTGGTTTGAACTCCTGTCCAGAAATTTAAACAGTGAAAGGGAAATAGTTAAATTTTCAAGCAACTTTTCTTTGAAAAGGAAAATAAAATAAGTAATCACTCTTTCAGTGCCAACATGCAAAACATAAATTAATTGAGACGTTATGCTCAGTCAAAGTATACGGTACTCAAATCTTATTTCTTGGTTCATAATTGCCAACAACATAGACCAAAAATTAAATTTGAATGACAGACTGAAGAAGCCAGAAATTCTAAACCAATGTAGAATCTTAAGGCTAAACATCTTGCAGTTTTTCTTCAAGGTTACTGTATGAAGGTGACAAGGTGTGCAACCGAACATACCTGCTGAGCCATTGACATCGTAGGGCATCCATCTGATGAGGTTCACCAAGTCCTTTTGGGCCTAACAAGTCATTGTGTGATCCAACTAAATCTTCTTCATTTTAGTGCACTCAAAATTGATTCACTGCACAGAAGCATTCATTCAGTGAGTTCAAATTCTTCTCCTCCTACACATTCCTCATCCTGCTCGCTGCACGAGTCACTTTCCCTACTCCTCCTCCTCCTTGGTGGCAATGCCGCCCTCATCACTGCCGAATACTCCTCCCTGATAGTAGCAAGTGGATGTGCATGCTTCGCGAGCAGCAGGCTTCCACCACCGTAAGCTTCCCTGAGCACAACTGTCTGCGTGCCAAGCACTCTAGAGAGGTAAAAAATGCCTGGATGGCGCTCGAACACCTTGGTGAACTTCTGCGGCATGCCGAGCAGCTTCCTCATGTTGCTCACATTGCGGCGCTCCGTCCTCTTCGCCACCGTGAGGTGCAGCAGCTCATGGAACACTCCTACATTCCTCTTCTCCGACACATCGGTGCGGCGATCGAGGCCTGAGGGATCGGCATAGGGGCTGGTGTACGGAAGCGCCTGCCATTCCTTCAGCCAGTTGATGCACTTGCTTCTGAGACCAAACCCTTTCGTGAAGCTCACCGGGAAGGGGAGGCAAGTGGTGTCACCGCCGCCGCCGCCAGCGGTGCTCTTCTCGAGCTCGGAGACGGCAAGACCGTCGTCCCACCAGAGGAGGCGGAGCCAGACGCGCTCATCGCCCTCGGGCTGGTCGAGGGCGAAATGGTCGGGGTAGCGGCGGAGGATGGAGGCGCGGTAGTCGCGGGGCAGGCCGAGGTCCCAGCGGAGGAGGTCGACGGTGTGGAGGGGGAGCGACCGCGGCAGCGTGAGCATGAGGAGGCGGCGGAGGCGGGACACGAGGTCGGGCTCGGATTCGACGAGGCAGTCCACCTCCCGCCGCCGGAGGTCGAGCGCCGCGTCCGTGAGGGACACGCCGCCGCCGCGGCGCAGCGCGAAGAGCGTGTGGTACCTGGCTAGAAACGCGTCCACCCCGTCCACGCCCCCGAACGCCCTGCGCACAGAGCTATCGGCGAGGAGCTCCGGGCGCGATACCCGGTGGCCTGGCCGGGCGGACACGACGTCGAGCAGGTGGTGGGCGGCGCGCAGGTCGCGCTCCCGCGACACCGCCCCGTCGAGCGCCCGGTCCTTCACCCACTTCAGCTTCACGTTCACCAGCGTCGCCCGCTGCTCCGCCGCGAACGCCGGCGCCTCCGACCACCCCCTCCTCCTCCTCCCCCCCATCCCCCTCGCCGCCCGCAGCCACCGCCCCGCCATGGACACCTCGCGCCGCTCCGCACAAGCGGAGGAGGTAGCACACCAATGGGCCTAGTTAACAGAACCAAATGGGCCTCGGCCTAGTTAAGCGAAGCCTTCGATGGGGGGGAGGGGGGATAAAGGCGTGTGCGTCTCCATCGGAGGAAGACGACGAGAAGCGAAGCAGCGAGAAGAGAGGTTGGTGTGGTGAGCGACGATGGCGATGGCGTCGTCGTCGTCGGCGTCTGCGGCGGCGGCGCGAGGGGGGAGCCTGGTGGAGGAGTGGAGCGGGCGCGTGAAGGCGCTGGAGGCGGGGTTCCGCAAGTGGATGGCGGAGCAGCCGACGCACATCGAGGCCGCGGTGACCACGGCCGTGGGGGCGGTGCAGGGGGCGGCGCTGGGGGGCCTCATGGGCACGCTCACCGCCGACGGGGGTTCCCCGTTCCCGACGCCGCCGCCGCCGCCGCCCAACGCGAACCCGCAAGCCATGGCGTCCTTCAAGCAGGCTCAGGTTGCCAACGCATCTTCTACCCGATTCTCCTTTTGGCGCATTTGATGAATTCTTCGTGAAGAAAACTGATGTTTACTAACGATTTACAACGTGCTGTATCAAGATTGCAATCTAAACACAACTGGAACAATCTGCTCTTGCTTTCGTAGATTCGGCTTACTAAATTGATTGATCATGATACATCTGTATGAATATCGTTAACAACGTAATGGCCATTTATAGAGTGGGCTCTCTTGCTAATGCGTGATATTGCTCCCGGATTGCAGTTTGAAGTTTTTCTATGTACAAAACTACAAATTGTTTCTAGAGCACAAAGATCGGTTAGTCTGGCATAGAATTAGATGCTGGTGAAGGGAGCCAATTCGGTACATCAATAACAAAGAATGGAGAGTGAAGTAGATTAATGGTTGTAATGTACTAGAAAATATATTCATTTGTTTGATCACTAGTTCCAAGCTTGCGTGTAGCTATAGCACAGATTTCACTTTGAGATTACAATCTAGTAATCTACAATAGATTAAAAGGCTCACCCATGAACTATGTAATCATGAACTTAATTTTAGGGTGGCATTTTTCATGTTGGCCATTTAGAGGCCACACAGATGTCTCCCAGTATTTGAATTTTTACACATCAAGGTTGGATCTATTTGTAGGCTTTAGCTGGTGGACCATTGGTGCAAGCCCGGAATTTTGCAGTTATGACTGGTGCAAATGCAGGCATATCTTGTGTAATGAGAAGGATACGTGGTGGTGAGGACATCCAGGGCAGGTGAGTCTTGGAATTTCATCTAGATTGGCACTACATTTAAAAGAACGCAACTTATATAACTAGTTTGGTGTTTGATATATGCAAATTAATCTTGTAAATGCTTGATTGCGATTTCCAGATATGAACCATTAAAGACAGGGATAAATTGTTCATATTCAGATTTCTGGATGGAACTATTAGTTCGAGTTAATAATACATACTCGTTGCTTTATTCTAGAGAAAAAAATGTCTTTTCTGTATGTGTAGCATGGCAGCTGCTTTTGGTTCTGGTGCTCTGTTCTCCATAGTTAGTGGAATGGGAACTCCCAATCCAGTTGCAAATGCAATTACAACTGGTGCTGCTTTTGCAATATTTCAAGGTGGCTTTTTCATGGTAAGAATCTAGATGTATTTGCTGGTTAATGGTTTTTGTTGTCATTTTCCTGCTCGTTCCATTTTATTACTAACCTTTGACATCTTCTGTACCCTGAAGTTGATTTGGTATGTCACTATTTGTGGAAATACAATTTTATCCTCCTTGTGGAGACCTGCTATAACTTGGCAGATATTAACGACTCCTGAAATGTTTTGCTTAATTTAGGAGTATATTTCTAACAATCTTGCTTAAGCCTAGCTATAGGAGTATATTTCTAACAATCTTGCTTAAGCGTAGCTAGAGTATGTAATTCATATGGGTACCGCATGTATACTTCATTTTATTTTGTCGGTTGAAGTCTATCATGTATGGAAATGATGAAACAGACTAAGTATTTATGACAGCAATGAGCTTTGGCAGTGTCACCATGCCACTTTTTTTCTTTCTTGTTAGTTGTTACAAACTCCATTTTGAGGTATCCATAGAGCTTGGCTAGACATGCAAACCTCCTAACCTTAGGCCTCCAGAAGTGAAGAGATTTGGTACAAAAGAAGCTACTTTGCTGTTTATGGAAGTATTTGGATAGGACCTTGACGATTTTGGATGGGATACGCGAGAGCAAATTATAGTGAGTTTAAATTTGAAACCCATATTCCGATGAAACAATTCTGTTGAAGTACAGGTTCTATAAGTATTTTTCTTTCTACCTTGATCTTTGCATGTGGAATTATCACACATAATTTTAGTAGCACATTTTGATTTTAGTAAATTTACTATTATTTGGTTATCTTGTCACTAGCCTTCAACCATTGATATGACGTTTTGATGTTTTATCCAGTATTCCTTGTAGCTTACTAGTTCTACCTGTTAATTCATTCTGTTCAGATTGGGCAGAAGTTCTCAAAGCCACAGAGCGAGGATCTGTACTACTCCCGTGCAAGGAGCATGCTGCAAAAACTAGGCCTCGAGAAATATGAGAAGAATTTTAAGAAGGGTCTACTCACTGATCAAACTTTGCCTCTCCTTACCGACAGGCAAGTCATTGTTTTTGTTTGTAATCAACACCATTTCTGAAGAAGGAAAAATTTACATGTCCACACTAATATGTTGACTGCTGCTTCAGTGCTCTGAGAGATGTGAAGATTCCCCCTGGCCCCAGACTTCTGATACTCGATCAAATTAAAAGGTTTGTGAGCGTCCCTCCCCAATCCATTCAACTTAAATGATAGTTTTATATTCAAAATTTAAGGACACGGAACTAGTTTTGGGACCCAATGCAAGGTAGGCCAAATTTCTGTCTGATGTCATTTATATATTTTTTTCCAGGGATCCTGAGTTTGGAAAAGCACGGTGAAGCCTCTCAGCCCTTGGCTCATGGCTCCTTGGATTGCGTAGGACTGTATTATCTGAAGCTATGCCATCTTTGTTTTTTTTATGATATGCTTCCTAGGCAACGTATTCATCATAAAGGTTTTTTTTTTTTGAGAGAAGGGGGGGGGGGGGGCTAGTTACTGTTGGATGGTAATTAGTTTTTATCTTCCTATTGAATTTTGTGCAACTATTAGTCACATGCTTGTGATACATTGTATACATCCTGTTCAAGAGGCAGATCATTTGCAAGGCGAATAAAATGTTTTTGTGTCTAGTAAAGGCATCGGTGATTCTGTTGTGTCAACTGACAAGGAAAAACTTGGGATGTTGTACGTGTCATTCTACGATGTTGAGAAATTAGTAAATAGGATGAGCAACATCTAGCAGATTGGGAATGTGTTGTGTGGAGACCACCAATTCTAACCATGCAAAAATTTGATCAAACTTGATTTAGTCTGCAAGGAATGAAATTCACAAACAGAGATGTTAAAACTTGATTTAGTTTGAAGGAACGAAATTCAGAAACACAGAAATGAACAGAGTGAAACGGTGAAACTTCAATATGTAGTATTTATACTATACGTTCTAATGGTCGTAGATTTCATATCTTCGAAATGAATTTGAGCTAGATAGTGAAGTTTTATATGTACGTATATTCAAGGATTTCAATAGCACCTCCGCGTATGTTCTTTTCAGTTTTCACATATAACTTAGGTTGTGGTTTGTATAATTTCACCACACGGATGGTCTCATATCTAGATTCGTTGTACTAGAATACATCACATCTAACCAAAATCTCTTATATTTAGGAACGGAGGAAGTATCCTTGTAACCTACTCCATTAAAATAAGTCTTGTTTCGTGAATACACAGAACAGAAAATTAATGACGAATCAACGATAACATTCCGCAACTATGGTTTCAAAATAATATATTTGATCAATTGAACAACAATATACAGTTGGGTACAAGTTTTAAGACATTTATATGCCCGAACGAATCCCTTAACTGTTATGTACATAATGAAATATATTCCGTGTCTACCTAAAAAAAGAATTAGTAATCTCGAAAGAATGAAAAATTAGATCTCTAATGTACTAAGCAGTATGCAGAACTTCAGAATGTCCGTGTCGGATCAGACAACTGGACAACCTTCTCATTCAGGTGGCTCATGCAAAGTTTCCCCCCGGCATCAATATCCATCAGTATCGTGTCCCCAGGCTTGTATTCGCCAAATAGAATTGCTTCGCTGATCACATCCTCAATCAGGTGGGTGACGGCTCTCCTCAGTGGCCGCGCACCGTAGCTCTTGTCATAGCCTTCTTCGCAAATCAGGTCCTTCATTGCATCGGACACCTCGAGGCCTATTCCAAGGGCTAACAGCCTACCCTTCACTTCTTGTAGGATGATATCAAGAATTGCTAGCATCTGCAATCATGTAAATGGGGCATTAGTTTCTCATCTGATCAGAAGCTGCAGAATAGGAATTAGCATTGACAATTATGTCACTTTAGTTGTGTGTCTAACTAGTTGCATAGCTAAATAAAATATTTTATCAGGTATTTATAGTAACTGACTAACGGAGTTATTATTATATAAGTTGACTAAGCATATGTAAGATTTTTTTAAGAAATTCAGGGCCAAGAGTAAGAAACTAACCTGAGTTTTCTCTAAGGGACGGAATACAACCATCTCATCGATTCTGTTGAGCAATTCTGGACGGAAAAATGCCTTCAACTCTTCCATTACTAGAGATTTCATTGCAACATATGAGCTTGATTCAGTATCTTCTGTCATGAAACCCATGCTTCGTCTTCCCTTTGAAATTGATGTAGAACCAATATTTGATGTCATGACAATCAATGTGTTCTTGAAGGACACTCTGCGGCCCTGTAGTCCACACAAAGCTCTAACGTAAATAAAACATATTCGGCATATGATTATGAACTACTTTAAATTTCATCCGAAAACAATGAGAAATATAAATGCAGAACCATTTTTTAGTTTACTTTCTAGGGATAGAACATTGCAAAAAATTGTCCATGTAACTCT